TTAAGGTCTTCATTGCCTGTCTGAAGAAGATACCTCATTTTCCTTTCATCAGTCAGTTCGTTCTTTAGCTGTTCATTCTTTGCCCATACCTCGATGAGTTCCCTCTCTCTTTGCACATTGGCCAGGTTGTGTTGTAGCTTGCCAGTTTCGTCGAATTTATTATTTCGAAAAAAACGCCAATGCTAGCAGATGGGAAATTAGGGTCGCATACTTTATCCGACTTTGGTTCATCTGTAGAAGTAAAATCGAAATTGTCGATGTAATGTTGACTTACAGAAAACACCTATCAAAATACACACACATCCAAAATGTGTTACAGTGATTTGTATAATTCTTCTCCCCCTCTTGTGTAGGTATAGGCACTGGCTTTTCTCTCTACGTTTTGCTCAAATGCATTGCCACTGAAGATGGTTGGAATGGCAGTCGAGTAAGTTCTTGACAGTGCCAAGTGGCTTTGTCTGTAGAATCATCATTATCAATGTATTTTTGACATCCTTGGGGATGGGACATGGATTTCCCGATCGGATGCCAATCTATCACCAAATGACACTGCATCACGAGTGCTAGATTTAAACTTAAAATTATTCAAATATAGACCTTGGCTTAGACTATTTATAGTCGAAGATTTTCTTTTCAGATCCTATCTTGAATCGATGCTAAGAACACCTCAGATGTCAGTGGTCGCTCATTAATCTTTATAAGGAAATCTGATCATTGTGTCTACGAATATAGTTTAGTTATTATCTTCCCAACACACCTCCAAACAATTGGTCCTTACTTCCACGCCCCCCATCCACCACATCAAAAATTGAAGTTAATGATAAAAAAATCCATCGTAAATCAAAGAGCAAAAGAAAAAGAAAATAATTCATTATACAAAATTATAAGAAATTCTATTCTTTTCCTTGAGGGTTGCACCTTCCCATGGAAATTACTGACGTGTCCAGGAAGCAGAACTCCATTGTCAGAACTACTAGTTTTCTAGACCTCAACATTGATCTAATGGGTTCCAGTTCATTAACCTACGCATGACAACACTTTTCGGTATAGCAACATCTCTCCCATGAGTCGATCTTTTATTAATGACCGCAGATACAGCCGTCGTCACTTGCCAACAACCTCAGTAAATCCTGAGCCGAAAGATGAAGGATCCGCATGATGATATTGACAACAAGAAGTACAGAATTTTAGCTGATAATTCCTCGTCGGCAACGCGTGCAGAGGAAGGCAAGGTGCCTCAGGTAAAGCTTGTGGACCAGTGTCCTTCAAGGATCTGAAGCATACAAACCCTATCGCAGGCTGCTCTGAATATGGACGTGCTGAGGAAGGCTCTGTTCCTGCTACTTGCCTTACACAGTATGTATTTGTAGGGGTGTATGTTAACTGTCCGACCCATTCCCCATGAGCTTAGTTTTTGTTTTTAAATGAAATGGAGCACATAGGAAAATTGTCTGACGTACTTGGCGTGAAGATCCCAAAATATTTTGATACCCTGTTTTTACTGTCTTAGTAATACTAACTGTTATACTATATATATATATATATAAATATATATATATATATATATATATATATATATATATATATATACATATATATATGTATATATATATATATACATACATACATACATACATATACACATACATACATACATATACACATACATACATACATATATACATATACACATCTATACATATATATATATATATATATATATATATATATATATATATATATATATACATATACATACATATACATGTTTCGTGATATATTAATATATATATATATATATATATATATATATATATATATATATATATATATATATATATATATATATATTGTGTGTATATAATATTCCCGTATTACAAGGATGGGAAGACCGTTACTCATTTAAGAATTTGACATGAGGCTTCTTTATTTGTTACTTAATTTACCTGCCAACTTATCTCTTTACATCCGTCCTGTTTTCATCTCTCTCTCTCTCTCTCTCTCTCTCTCTCTCCAACCAATCTCCTCATGCCTCTTTATCCACCGACTCCTTATTCTATCTCCTTTTTCGCTCTCCATCTCCCCCCCCCCCCCCCCCCTCTCCATCTCCAGCCAGTAGCCTTAAAATCTATTCATTGTCGTCCCGCAATGTTTTTTTTTTCCAGACGCTGAGTACGTGCATAGCCAGACGGATGTTCAGACATTTTTCAACGCCTTTTGTAATGCGAATGCAGATAATATGGTCTGCCATGTGAGTATTCAAAGACTTTAGTAAATGTTCACTTCTGTAATTACACCGTTTCAAAGATTTGACTTTGAATTGGTATATTAACTTAGATTAGATTAAAGTAAGTTAATGTAAGGTGTGGTAAAGCAAGGCAAGGTATGGTAAGATGATGTAAATTAAGATAAAGGACGGGAAGGGAAACGAAAAGATAAGATAAGGTATGGTAAGGTAAGGTAAAGTAAAGTAAGGTAGGAAAGGGTAGACCAGGGTTAGGTTCCTTCCATCAAGTTTTTGTATGCAAGAGCGAACCAAATCGCATGTTTCCTAACTAACAAATCTGACAAAAACGAATGAATGAATAATCGTTTGATCTATCGTATGAGTGTATTTCCCGGAAATTTCATATCGCCACTTTTTCAACTAACGAATGTTGAAGACAAAATTATACTCTGTTCAAAACGAAACTCCACCTCAAACTGATTTAATTATTGATCCATACCGTTAACAGCATCACCTCCCCCCTCTTTCCATCCACACAGAGCAAGCCCCTCGTGACAGAGGGAGGCGCTGGAGGCTCCATCCCCGGGCTGGACCAAGGCAGCAATGTGGCGTGCCTGCCGGGGACGAAAAGGTGCACGCAAATGCCGAATCTGTGTGTGCCTTCAGACATCCCCTGCAGTGCCATAGGTGAGACTGTGACAGTTTGAAATATGGTTTTGGTGTGGATTTATGCCTACACAAACACACATGTATATGTGTATACATATATGTATACGTACATTTATATATATGTGTTATATATATACATTATCATGTTTATGTATATGTATTTCACACACACACACACACACACACACACACACACACACACACACACACACACACACACACACATATATATATATATATATATATATATATATATTTATAAATGGATATGTGTTTATATACATATATATGTTCTACATATATGTGATAATTTTCATATACATATACATGTATATATGTATATATATATATATATATATATATACATATATATATATATATATATATATATATATGTGTGTGTGTGTGTGTGTGTGTGTGTGTGTGTGTGTGTGTGTGTGTGTGTGTATGTGTGCATGTAAATATTTATATGAATGTATAGATCAGTATATGTATGCATATATTCATATATATGTTTATATATATTTATATGAATTTATATATATATACATTTTTGCAAATTCATATCTATATATTCATACATATGTTTATATTTATACATATATGTATTCATAGATATATGTATATATATATTCATATATATATGCACATATATTTATATGTGTGTATATGTATATACATATGTATATATAGATATATGTATGCATAATGTATATACACACACACGTGTGTGTGAATATATACACATTTGTAAGATATTTACACACACATGAATAAATGTACATATGTCTGTGTGTACTCACACATATAGACATACATACACACTTATATGTGTATGTTTATATATATATATATATATATATATATATATATATATATGTATACATATATATACATATATATATATGAATATATATTGATACATATTAATATATATATATATATATATATATATATATATATATATATATATATATATATATATGTATCTTAGTTATTAGTAAAAAACTACTTGTTCTTGCTTTTAAAAGTGCATTATTTTAGTTACATTGCTGCATAATGTTTGCTTACTCGACATTAGACAACACTTTGCTCTGATTATGAAGACGAAAGAAATGTGGATAAAATATTTAAAAACGAAGCTACTCCGTCACTGCAGCCGTCGGCAGTGACCTTCACGAAGCCGGGTGCACGGGCCTATAAGGAGAAGAACATCGTCACTGATTTAAGAATCAGGCCTCTTTATTTGTTACTTAATTTGCCTGCTAACTTATCTCTTCATATCCGTCCTGTTTTCATCTCTCTCTCTCTCTCTTTCTGTCATCCTCACTCTCCCCTCTCTCTATCTCTCTCATTCTCTCCAATTAATTTCCCCTCGCCTCTTTAGGCTTCTTTATTTCTTACTTATTTTACCTGCCAACTTATCTTTACACATCCGTCCTATTTTCATTTCTCTCTCTCTCTCTCTATCTCCAACCAATCTCCTCTCGCCTTTTTATCCCCCGACTCCTCATTCTATCTCCTTTCTCGCTATTCATGTCCCCCCCACCCCCACCCCCTCTCTATCTCCAGCCAGTAGCCTTAAAATCTGCCTTTTCCAGACGCTGCGTACGTGCATAGCCAGACGGATGTTCAGACATTTCTCAACGCCTTTTGTAAAGCGAATGCAGATAATAAAGGCTGCCATGTAAGTATTCAAAGACTTTGGTAAATGTTCGCTTTAGTAATTACATCATTTCAACTAACGAATGTTGAAGACAAAATTATACTCTGTTGAAAACGAAACTCCACCTCACAATGATTTCACTATTGATCCATACCGTTAACAGCATCACCTCCCCCCTCTTTCCATCCACACAGAGCAATCCCTTCGTGACAGAGGGAGGCGCTGGAGGCTCCATCCCCGGGCTGGGCCAAGGCAGCAATGTGGCGTGCTTGCCGGGGACGAAAAGGTGCACGCAAATGCCGAATCTGTGTGTGCCTTCAGACATTCCCTGCAGTGTTATAGGTGAGCCTGACAGTTTGAGATATGGTTTTGGTGTGGATTTATGCCTACACAAACACACATATATATATTTATACATACATGTATATGTACATTTAT